CGGCCCTGCATTAAACTGCGGAGCGACGTTCACACAGACCGCGGCTCACACCGCTGCAGAGAGGGAGCGAGCTGTCCCAGCACCTATGGATCAGCCAACCCGGTATCACGGCAAGACGTGAACATGTGACGATTTACCATGCTGGGAGACGTGAACATGTCACGGTTTCGTCCCTTTCAAACGTGACAGCTACACGGTATTGTTAACCCATGTTAACCAGTGGAGAAATAACCGGAAATACCAAGCAAATGCTACCCCGACGTAATGATTTATTTTTTCATAGTCACACTCGATTACAGCGATTTTCTTGTTGCCCCAGCTGGTCGACACCTCTTTTAGCATAAACAAAGGCTACATGAATGTATTAAATCGATGTTAATCCGTGCGTGTGGATGTGGAATTAACGGACGTGACGTTGTGCGATTGAGTTGCCAAGCAACAGCTTCGGTTCATGTTAATTTACAAACTATTCAACTACAACCGTAGTTATATTTAAAAACATGTTAGCAGGCCTCACGAAATACTTTAATGCACATTAAAATGTAAATGTGAAGGAATGTGTGTATAACAAAATACATCGGTCATTAAACGAAACCGGAAACAGACGTAGGCAAGATCCTCAGCTCGATGATTGGATGGTTATCCGCAATGCATGCTGGGATTTGGTGTTTATGTGATGTGAAATCTGAAAACGTTTTTTAAAAATACAATAATTCTTTATTCCGAGTGTGCTTGCTTTTCTCTTTGAAAGTCATCATATAACGGCATTGTAATACACGGTTCGGCTGCATTAAATATGACATATCTGCCGTAGTTCTCTATTTATAGAGCCCTGCTGAGAAGACAAACAGGAGAACTGCCGCCAAAACTGAAAACGTGACGTGGATCAGAAATATATAAGCAATTAAACAGCATCTTACATTTATTTTCACACAATACGTCTCCTTGCAGTATCAACACTAATTCGGCTGACTTTTATATTTGATCCAATTGGTACATAGGCTGTATTTACACCATAACCGTGCAGAGCTGATAGAAAGGGACACCATGGTGGTCAAAGCACTCATTCATTCATGAATGAAGATAGAAGATCAATTTATATTCCTATAGTACTACTGACTTGTGAGGATAACTTGTAATTAGAACTGAAAACAGATACATTTATTAAACTGTATTATGGAACTTCTGTTTTTTTATTATCATTCATACCACTTTTATTGCCAGATGGAGGGTTCCGATCATAAAACACAGAGACCATACAGCCATACCATATTGAATTGAAAAATACAAATCAGAATTCTTCAATGTTGACATGACAATGATAAATTAGTCTGGATATTGAAAAACAATAGAAAAACATGTCTTAAAACAACTCTCTTCCCTTCTACTCTAGGAGAGGCAACAGATCAGACTAATATTCATATGTTTAAAAAGCGACGATACAAATTTAAATTTGGGACACTGCTGGTTATATCCGGGACAATACAAAGTAGAATTCGGGACAGTTGTGGGACACTGAGGAAAAAAGTTAATTTCGAGCCCTGATGACTCCACTCCGGAGGGATTCCCCGATCATTTCTTACAGTTTCTCATCAAGGGGGGGGGGGTCTCCTGTCCCCGGTGCAAACACACTGCCTGAGGAAGGTTAGGCTATGGCCCTTTCTCATTTCTCTAACTCCCCTCCTCGACTCCTATCCTCGAGACTTAGTCCCACCCACAGGAGATGCGAGCGGAGGAGCCGAGGAGGGGAACCGAGGAGAGAGGAGGGGAAGCAGCAGGCACTTAGAGAAATGAGAACTCCTCTTCTCTGAGCGTCATTTTAAAGAGACGTCCATTAATGATGACAGGAGGCACAGCAGCCCTCTGTCTGATGGACAGATGTGTTCATGATGACTTATATATTTACTTTGATTCATTCACAGTGCGGTATAATGAGACAACAGGCTACAGATGCGGACACTCACACACACATATATTTATATAAATATATACAATTTCAGAATCAAACAGAGCACTCTCATAATAACGTAACACAATCAGAGACTGGATATATCCCCCCCTCCCCCTCCTCTCTGGTCGCTACAATGAGGAAAATAAATTACGGGCCAAAAGGTTTATTTACAAGTATTAAAAGTAACTAGAGGACACCAAACCAACTGAGACCTGTCTGTCTGCTGCATCTACGCACACACTGTACCACACACACACACCACAGCTACCCTAACAGCCGTTGTGTATTTTATTATGTGAAGCACTAAATGTTTTTAGAAAAATATCGACTCTTTGTTTGTAGATATCTACTAAACTAAAGCAAATAAAGAGAGTAATGTAGGCCTGTTATACTGAGTGATATATATTATACACACTGCTCTGCTTTCTGCACGGACCTCACAGCTGTTCTCACTGTAAACATCGCGTTGCGATGAGAGCAGTTTCTAAAATAATATCCAGGGATGCATGCAGAGCTGTCATTGGCTGAGATAAGTCCGGCCGTGCGTCACGACTCTTTGAAACATCTCTGTTCCCGGAAATGCATCTGTGGAGGACCGTGGAGGACCCATCAGTGTATCCTCGGTTAGAGCTCCTCCAGAGAGCCTCCTCGATGCTCGATGCTCGGTCCTCGAAGTGCATTTAGAGAAATGAGATGTCCTTCAAAATGGCGCGCTGAAATTCATTTCCGGGTCACTACCGGAGGACCGAGGAGTCGAGGAGGGGGATTTGATGAAATGAGAAAGGGCCTATGTGTATTTTTTTTGTCATTAACCTTTTTCGGACCACTTATTTATTTATTTTGGTGACTGTAGGAGCCGCATTTAAGTTTATTTTGTTTTGATTTATTTGGAACCTTTATTAATGCATTTTTCTGTTCAGTGAGAGGTGTGCTTTTCTCAGGTGAAGGGGCCAAGTGCTAGGACTGTCTTAGGGAAGAAAGCTTTTAGTTGTGCAGCTCCACTAAATTGGAACAGTCTGCAAACATGTTTAAAACTGAGCACTTTGGTTCCCCTGCATCATTTTAAAACTCAGCTGGGTGACATTCTGTTTGATACTCATGGTACCTGTCTCTGTAAATAGAGTTTGTAAACTGTACCCTGTACATTATGTTGTTTGTCATCCTTATTGTTGTTCTGTTGTTTTTATGTTACATGTGTAACTAATGTCCTGTAGGTCACCCTTGAAAAAGAGATCTTTTTATCTCAAGGGGCTTCACCTGGTTAAATAAAGGCTACAAACAAACAAGGCTTTAAGTTGGAGGTGCGGTGTGTGACGGGGGAGCAGCAGGCAGCAGCAATACCGTCATTGACACGCAGACGCAACCTTATGCTTATAAAAGACAGAATATTAGGATCTGCTGTTTAAGTTTATGTTACATATTGTTTTCGTATTTTGTTTTATGTTTTGCTGGAAATAAACGTTGAAAAGCAACAGAAACGTCCAGTGGATTGTGTACTGCGAGTCTGACACTGCTTCCCAGGCCCAAGCTCTACATGTGGCCAAGAACAATAACTTTTGAGGTGAAGGTTACAAGACAAACTTTTGGGGATTTTGGCCCCTACAGTGACGATCCGACCTCCATGCTGCTACTCTGGTTCAAACTGCATCCACCAAACAATATGATTTGTCTCCACCTCCCCAAAAGAACCAAATCTGACACGGTGTGAGATGTCTTTTTTAGCTGTTCTGTCTTCATTTCCTGCGATCTCCTTCATAAAGTCAGTCAAAATGAATGAATGGGCGTTTCTTTGACTATTTATAGGCAAATATGGGCGTTATGTGAAGCCCGCAAAAGCTGCACCGCATTTCGAGTCGATTGTGATTTATAAAGAGAAACGTAGGAAGTGCCGTACGCACTTCCCTCGCCGGTACGCAATGTTTGGTGTATCGGAAAATGTCGGAACATTTCTGTACCTATTTATTTGCTTTCTACTACGTAAGCAACCTTCCCACGTGAATCCTACGCACGGTGTTATAAATGAGGCCCTAGATCACAACGTTCACGCTCTTTGGTCAAGATACTGCAGCAAGGTGGAGCAAAACACACAGCTGCAAACTTACTCAAGGTGTTATGGAAGAGTTTGAAATCAGACAGAGGTGGAAGAAGTACTCAGATCTTGTGAAGGAATACTCTGTTACAAGTAAAAGTCCTGCATTCAAAATGTTCCTCAAGTAAAATTAGAAAAGTATGATCATCAAAATATAGTGAAAGTAGCGACAGTAAAAGTAGTCATTGTGCAGATTGGTCCATTTCAGAATAATATATATGATATGTTTTATAATGATTGATCATGAAAGTGTTCTCAAAGCTGGTAAAGGTGCAGCTAGTTTGAATGACTTTGTATACTGCAGGGTAGCTGGTGGATTTACTCCAGGTGGAACTAAAGTCTGATTTAACACTTGATTATATTTCACATCATTCATCCACATCTGTAAAGTAACTAAAGGTATTAAATACATGTAGTGGAGTAAAAGTACACCATATACCTCTGAACTGTAGTGGAGTAGAAGTACAAAGTAGCATCAAAGTCAAGTAAAGTACAAGTATCTTAAATTGTAATTAAGTACAGTACTTGAATAAGTATACTTAGTAACTTCCCACACCTGAAATCAGATATTACTTCAAGTCATGTGATCATTTCTTAGTATTTGATCCTTCAACTTGGCCTCAGGAAATGCAAGGACTTCACAGTTTTCGCAACAAGTTTTGGAGAAAGCAAAGCGGAGGCTTAAACAGGGACATTGAGGAAGACTGCAGCATCTTCATCATTACCATGCAAGAAGTGGAAATAGAGGACAGTGAAGGAGACACTGAGGAAGACTGCACTTATTAACCACGCTTAGTGTGGGGTGAGTACCAAATGCTGTCTCCTGGTACTCATCTGAGTAACTCACTAAAAAAGTGATGTGCACCCCTGAATATATTGGTTTTTACACAAGGGAGAATTTTGAGAATGTTGTTCTCTTAAATGATATCCATAGAAAGACAGATGGTGTGTTGTCTGCAGGAGCCGAGCAGAGGTGGCCCCTGACCAAGTGTCTGAAGAGGGTCGGGGGCTAATCCTGCTGGACGAGGTGCAGTGCCAGGGACCAGAGGCCACTCTACTGGCCTGCACCCACTCTGAGTGGGGCCAACATGACTGCTCCCACAGGGAGGATGTAGGTGTCCGCTGTGAGAGGGGGGGTGGAACCAATGAGATACCAGGCCTTTTGCCTATTGGTAAGTACACACCTTCACAGTCGGTGTGAATGTGTGTGAATGTTAGCTTCCCCCTGCCTCAGTATGAATGTGTGTTCATGGGTGAATGATGACTTGTGGTGACCAGTGGTGTAAAGTAACTAAGTACATTTACACAAGTACTGTTCTTAAGTACAATTTTGAGAGACTTCTTTAGAGGCTTCTCAATTCTTACATTTCCCCTCCTCGACTCCCCTCCTCGAGACTTAGTCCCGCCCACAGGAGATGCGAGCAGAGGAGCCGAGGAGGGGAACCGAGGAGAGAGGAGGGGAAGCAGCAGACGTTTAAAGAAATGAGAACTCCTCTCCTCTGAGCGGTCATTTTAAAGAGACGTCCGTTCATTATTACTTGGCAACAGCTGCATCAGCTGTCGAGTGTTTTGTCATAGCGCTGTATCTCTGTTAGATCAGCTGAACATTGTTCCCCCACATATTTACTTTGAATTCATTGAGAGTGCGGTATAATGAGACAATAACAGGCTACAGATGCGGACACACACACACACATATATTTATATAAATATATACAATTTAAAGTATGAGAGCACTCTCATAATAACGTAACACAATCAGAGACTGGATATATCCCCCCCCCCTCTCTCTGGTCGCTGAAATGGGGAATTGAAATTACGGGCCAAAAGTTGTATTTACAAGTAGGCCTATTAAAAGTAAGCATAGGACACCAAACCAACTGAGACCCGTCTGTCCGCCGCATCTACGCACTGTACAACACACACCTACACACTGTACCACACACACACCTACACACTGTACAACACACACACCTACACACTGTACAACACACACACCTACACACTGTACCACACACACACCTACACACTGTACCACACACACACCTACACACTGTACCACACACACCTACGCACTGTACAACACACACACCTACACACTGTACCACACACACACCTACACACTGTACCACACACACACCTACACACTGTACCACACACACACCTATACACTGTACAACACACACACCTACAGCTCCTAAAGCATAATCAGGCTACAGCCGTTGTGTATTTTATTATGTGAAGCACTAAATGGTCTTAGAAAAAATATCGACTCTTTGTTTGTAGTTATCTACTAAACTAAAGCAAATAAAAAGAGTAGGCCTGTTATACTGAGTGATATATATTTTACACACTGCTCTGCTTTCTGCACGGACCTCACAGCTGTTCTCACTGGAAACATCGCGACGCGATGAGAGCAGTTTCTAAAATAATATCCAGAGGGTGCATGCAGAGCTGTCATTGGCTGAGATAAGTCTGGCCGTGCGTCACGCCTCCACCGTTCCCGGAAATGCATCCGCGGAGGAGCCGAGGAGGAACCATCAGTGTCTCCTCGGTTAGAGCTCCTCCAGAGAGCCTCCTCGATGCTCGATCCTCGGTCCTCGGTGTGCATTTAGAGAAATGAGATGTCCTTCAAAATGGCGCGCTGAAATTCATTTCCGGGTCACTACCGGAGGACCGAGGAGTCGAGGAGTCGAGGAGTCGAGGAGGGGAAATTTGAGTATTGAGAAGCCTCTTATGATTGAGTATTTCCATTATATGCTACTTTGTACTTCTACAATTCAAAGGTACTCCACTACATTTATTTAATACCTTTAGTTACTTCACAGATGTGGATGAATAATGTGAAATCTAATCAAGTGTTGAATCAGACTTTAGTTCCACCTGGAGTAAATCCACCAGCTACCCTGCAGTATACAAAGTCATTCAAACTAGCTGCACCTTTACCAGCTTTGAGAACACTTTCATGATCAATCATTATAAAACATATCATATATATTATTCTGAAATGGACCAATCTGCACAACGACTACTTTTACTGTCGCTACTTTCACTATATTTTGATGATCATACTTTTCTACTTTTACTGAGTAACATTTTGAATGCAGGAATTGTACTTGTAACAGAGTATTCCTACACTGTGGTACTTCTACTTTTACTTCAGTACAAGATCTGAGTACTTCTCCCACTTCTGCTTGTATATGTAAAGAAGTCGAGTAGAGAAGTCGTAAAGACTGGATAAAGCGCCATATAAATGCAGTCCATTTAAGAGTATTAAACATGTAGAGGCATCAGAATAGCCTCAGGACAGGCACATCATCAACAATACGAGGCATGTTTCCCTGAAATGTTTGTGTACAGGCCCTCTGCTGCGATTGGTGGCTGGAGAGAGCAGGAAGGAGGGCAGAGTGGAGGTCTTCATCAACGGCCAGTGGGGGAGCGTCTGCGATGATGGCTGGAATGATGTCCATGCAGCTGTGGTTTGCAGACAGCTTGGATTCACGTGAGTACCATGACACCCTCACTGATATTTTGCTCAGGATGCCCGTGCTTATTTTCATCTAAAGGCCCTGACACACCAAACTGACACCAAAGAACACGTCCCGACGGACCCAAATGATCTGTTTGGTGTTTCGAGCCAAACACTTCAGAGACATGTTCTGTATATATATGAGAACTATAATATATTGATGAAAAACAGTATAATGGGGGACCTTTAATTGCAGTTTGTTATTTTTTAAAGCCTAAAGCATCTTAACTGCTGCGTTGATGGCCGTGAAACACAATTGTGACTCCTGTTGGCTTAGTTTAGTTTATTTATTGAAAGGACAGTGCACATTAAACAACAACAATAGAGAGGAACATCAGAACAACAATAGAGAGGAACATCAGAACAACAATAGAGAGGAACATCAGAACAACAATAGAGAGGAACAGCAGAACAACAATAGAGAGGAACAGCAGAACAACAATAGAGAGGAACATCAGAACAACAATAGAGAGGAACATCAGAACAACAATAGAGAGGAACAGCAGAAACAACAATAGAGAGGAACATCAGAACAACAATAGAGAGGAACATCAGAACAACAATAGAGAGGAACAACAATAGAGAGGAACAGCAGAACAACAATAGAGAGGAACATCAGAACAACAATAGAGAGGAACAGCAGAACAACAATAGAGAGGAACAGCAGAACAATAGAGAGGAACAGCAGAACAACAATAGAGAGGAACATCAGAACAACAATAGAGAGGAACAGCAGAACAACAATAGAGAGGAACATCAGAACAACAATAGAGAGGAACATCAGAACAACAATAGAGAGGAACATCAGAACAACAATAGAGAGGAACATCAGAACAACAATAGAGAGGAACAGCAGAACAACAATAGAGAGGAACATCAGAACAACAATAGAGAGGAACATCAGAACAACAATAGAGAGGAACATCAGAACAACAATAGAGAGGAACAGCAGAACAACAATAGAGAGGAACATCAGGGGCCTATACTACGAAGCTGGTTCAACCTAACCTGGATATGTTTGAGTTAGCCGTTTGGCCTAATCCAAAACATACGCGCTCTCGCTAAACTGTACTACGACGCTGGTTATCAAGTGGATCGCTCAAGCCAGCCGTTTCCTATCTAGTTAGGTGCGCGTTCACATGAAAGGGGTGGTATTTGGAGCATTCGACCAATGACAAACATGGAGAAGCGCACTGACAGCGCAGCGTCATACTTCCTGAATGAAAAGTGAACTTTAATACTAGTCAAAAATGAAAAAGTTAAACTTTAAACATCCATGACTTAAACACTTGATCCAGGATCAAAGCCACAGAGCTGCACCTGCAAGGTGAATACAGCTGGCAAAAGAAAAAGTGTTTGAATGCGTACATTAACAGGTTTATGATATCACTGCCCCGTCTAAAACACGATTTGACTTTAATTACATTCGTTTCGAGTGTTTCGTCAACTTAATGTGTTGCTTAAAATAATACTTCTGCATACAGTAGGCCTATGTGACACTGTGAGTGTTGCACGGCCAGATACGGCTCAGCTGACTCAGATAAGAAAATATATGATACATTATGAAGTGATATGCCGCGGACTGTACTTGATGTTACTCTGATCCGGTTACTTATGTTGTGGCAGATATTTCAGTAAGCTTTCTTAACGCTAATGTTATAATAGTCAGATTGCTCTGAAGATGGAGGTTATATTCTATTAATGTTCACGTTCACACAGTCGGTGATTTTTGCCGGCCGTCTTTCCTGCGACGGCAGCTTTTCTGTATTTCCTTTCTCCTGTAATATGACTTGATCGCTTTAAACTCTGCACACTGAGCTCTGATTGGTCAGCAGGCAGTGCTTTCACTGAGTTGAGCTCTTAGCCTGCAACCTAACCTGGGGGGTATACTATGAAGCAGGATTTTCGCTTAGCCGGCTAAATTCAGGGACAACTCCGGCTTTCCGGTCCTACGAAGCTGGTTCTCTTTTTAGCAGGCTAGATCTCCATGGTAACTTATGCTTAGCGGCTAACCTGGTCGGGACCAGGTTAGGTTGCAGGCTAAGATCTCAACTCAGTGAAAGCACTGCCTGCTGACCAATCAGAGCTCAGTGTGCGGAGTTTAAAGCGATCAAGTCATATTACAGGAGAAAGGAAATACAGAAAAGCTGCAGTCGCAGGAAAGACGGCCGGCAAAAATCACCGACTTTGTGAACGTGAACATTAATAGAATATCACCTCCATCTTCAGAGCAATCTGACTATTATAACATTAGCGTTAAGAAAGCTTACTTAAATATCTGCCACAACATAAGTAACCGGATCAGAGTAATATTAAGTAGCCTACAGTCCGCGGCATATCACTTCATAATGTATCATATATTTTCTTATCTGAGTCAGCTGAGCCGTATCTGGCCGTGCAACACTCACAGTGTCACCTACTGTATGCAGAAGTATTATTTTAAGCAACACATTAAGTTGACGAAACACTCGAGACAAATATAATTAAAGTCAGATCGTGTTTTAGACGGGGCAGTGATATCATAAACCTGTTAATGTACGCATTCAAACTGTATTTGTGCCACACAGCTATGTGGCTTTTATCCAGGATAAAGTGTTTAAGTCATGGATGTTCAAAGTTTAACTTCTTCATTTTTGACTAGTATTAAAGTTCACTTTTCATTCAGGAAGTATGACGCTGCACTCTCAGTACGCTTCTCCATGTTTGTGATTGGTCGAATGCTCCAGATACCACCCGTTTCATGTGAACGCGCACCTAACTAGATAGGAAACGGCTGGCTTGAGCGATCCACTTGATAACCAGCGTCGTAGTACAGTTTAGCGAGAGCGCGTATGTTTTGGATTAGGCCAAACGGCTAACTCAAACATATCCAGGTTAGGTTGAACCAGCTTCGTCGTACAGGCCCCTGGTCCCGACCAGGTTAGCCGCTAAGCATAAGTTACCATGGAGATCTAGCCCGCTAAAAAGAGAACCAGCTTCGTAGGACCGGAAAGCCGGAGTTTTCCCTGAATTTAGCCGGCTAAGCGAAAATCCTGCTTCATAGTATACCCCCCAGAACAACAATAGAGAGGAACAGCAGAACAACAATAGAGAGGAACAGCAGAACAACAATAGAGAGGAACAGCAGAACAACAATAGAGAGGAACAGCAGAACAACAATAGAGAGGAACATCAGAACAACAATAGAGAGGAACAGCAGAACAACAATAGAGAGAACATCAGAACAACAATAGAGAGGAACAGCAGAACAACAATAGAGAGGAACAGCAGAACAACAATAGAGAGGAACATCAGAACAACAATAGAGAGGAACAGCAGAACAACAATAGAGAGGAACAACAATAGAGAGGAACAGCAGAACAACAATAGAGAGGAACAGCAGAACAACAATAGAGAGGAACAGCAGAACAACAATAGAGAGGAACAGCAGAACAACAATAGAGAGGAACCTCAGAACAACAATAGAGAGGAACAGCAGAACAACAATAGAGAGGAATAGCAGAACAACAATAGAGAGGAACAGCAGAACAACAATAGAGAGGAACAGCAGAACAACAATAGAGAGGAACCTCAGAACAACAATAGAGAGGAACAGCATAACAACAATAGAGAGGAACAGCAGAACAACAATAGAGAGGAACAGCAGAACAACAATAGAGAGGAACAGCAGAACAACAATAGAGAGGAACAGCAGAACAACAATAGAGAGGTACATCAGAACAACAATAGAGAGGAACAGCAGAACAACAATAGAGAGGAACAGCAGAACAACAATAGAGAGGAACAGCAGAACAACAATAGAGAGGAACATCAGAACAACAATAGAGAGGAACAGCAGAACAACAATAGAGAGGAACAGCAGAACAACAATAGAGAGGAACAGCAGAACAACACTAGAGAGGAACATCAGAACAACAATAGAGAGGAACAGCAGAACACAATAGAGAGGAACAGCAGAACAACAATAGAGAGGAACATCAGAACAACAATAGAGAGGAACAGCAGACAACAATAGAGCAGCAGAACAACAATAGAGAGGAACATCAGAACAACAATAGAGAGGAACAGCATAAAACAATAGAGAGGAACAGCAGAACAACAATAGAGAGGAACAGCAGAACAACAATAGAGAGGAACAGCAGAACAACATAGAGAGGAACAGCAGAACAACAATAGAGAGGAACAGCAGAACAACAATAGAGAGGAACAGCAGAACAACAATAGAGAGGAACAGCAGAACAACAATAGAGAGGAACAGCAGAACAACAATAGAGAGGAACAGCAGAACAACAATAGAGAGGAACATCAGAACAACAATAGAGAGGAACAGCAGAACAACCAATAGAGAGGAACAGCAGAACAACAATAGAGAGGAACAGCAGAACAACAATAGAGAGGAACAGCAGAACAACAATAGAGAGGAACAGCAGAACAACAATAGAAGGAACAGCAGAACAACAATAGAGAGGAACAGCAGAACAACAATAGAGAGGAACAGCAGAACAACAATAGAGAGGAACAGCAGAACAACAATAGAGAGGAACAGCAGAACAACAATAGAGAGGAACATCAGAACAACAATAGAGAGGAACATCAGAACAACAATAGATAGGTAAACAGGCAGAACAACAATAGAGAGGACATCAGAACAACAATAGAGAGGGAACACAGAACAACAATAGGAGTAACAAGCAGAAAACAATAGAGAGGAACAGCAGAACAACAATAGAGAACAGCAGAACAACAATAGAGAGGAACATCAGAACAACAATAGAGAGGAACAGCAGAACAACAATAGAGAGGAACATCAGAACAACAATAGAGAGGAACAGCAGAACAACAATAGAGAGGAACAGCAGAACAACAATAGAGAGGAACAGCAGAACAACAATAGAGAGGAACATCAAACAACAATAGAGAGAACATCAAACAACAAATAGAGAGGAACATCAGACAACAATAGAGAGGAACAT